CCCCTTCCAGTCCCTCCAGGAAAGCTGGGGAGGGACTCTGGATGAGGGAGGGGAGCCCTAGGAGGAGGGGGAAGGGTTTGACCCTGAAAGAGGGGAGATGGAGCTGAGATGTGGGGAAGAACTTGTTTGGTGTGAGGGTGGTGAGAGCCTGGCCCAGGTTGCCCCGAGAAGCTGTGGCTGCCCCATCCCTGGAGGGGTTCAAGGGCAGGTTGGAGGGGGCTTGGAGCAACCTGGTGTGGTGGGAGGTGTCCCTGCCCAGGGCAGGGGGTGGCACTGGATAATCTTTAAGGTTCTTTCCAACCCAAACCATTCTGTGATGATTCTGTATCCCCTCTTGGCAGCTCCCACCGTGCTGGCGGACGTGCTGCCCTGTGACCCTGCCATGCAGGAGGAGATCTTTGGCCCCATCCTGCCCATCGTTGTGGTGGCCAACATGGATGAAGCCATTGACTTCATCAACGCTCGGCCGCGGCCCTTGGCCGTCTACGCCTTCTCCTGTGACAGCAAGGTGCGTGCTGGCCCTTCTTGGAGGAGGAGGTGCTGCTGGGGGGTTCACACCCCATCCAAGGGGTCAGACAGACACCACACAACTCTGCTATTGCCAGGAGTAGTGTCCCCTTGCAGAAGGTGACCCCCCCTGAGCTCATGGGTGCCCCTTTTGACTCCTCAGACACACACAATTACTCTTGGAGCTCTTTCCTTCTTCAGGCTGGACTTTAGGTTTTCCCCAGCAGAGTCTCAGGCATCAGGTTTTATAAAAATAATTGAACAATTGAACAATTAATTGAAAGGTACCTTTTCTGGAGATATTCAGACAATGCCTGGATGCATTCCTTTCTGAAAGGTACCTTTTCTGGAGATATTCAGACCACGCCTGGATGCATTCCTGTCCATCCTGCTCAAGGTGAACCTGCTCTGGCAGGACTAGATGATCTCCAGAGGTCCCTTCCAACCCCTGCCGGCCTGAGATTGTGTAGAGCAGCAAGGACAGCCCAGGCTGGGTTCCTCTGAAATGAGAGGGACCTGGAATGAAGAAATCCCTGGGCAATTAGACCCCTGTGATCTCTACACCCTCCCCTCACGCGCCGTTGACGTGATTTTTGGTCTGGGGTCTTCTAACACCTTCTTGGATTCTTTTTCTGTGCCCTGTCCGGCCGTTGGCTGCTCTTTTCTCCTTGATTTTCAGCCTCTGCTGAGGGTTGGAGCTTCCTTATTTTCTGATTTATGCTCCTTGTGCACCCACAGCAGCTGGCAGAACGTGGGGAAATGAAAAATCATGGACTTAGGGCAAAAAGTGCCAAAATATCGGAGTGTTACCCACATTTTTCTTATACTAAAAGATTAAAGCGAGCACTGCGAGGAAAATTACTGAGAAAATTAACTCTATTGTGGCCTAAAGGCTTCAAATCGAGCTGCTCGTGCTGAGTAAAGCTCAACAAACAGCATAAATCACACCATATTATAACCCTAAGTAATTTATTCTAATTAAAACTTACTTATTTAAGCTAAACAAAGAATATCCTTCAAAATCCATGGCCCAGCAAGGGGGATGAGGGAGATGAGGCAGCAGGGTCAGTGCCCACCTCCCTGACACCTCCATGGCGGGCTCTGGAAGGGTCTTTGGAGCCCCTGATGATGGGGATCCTCACGTTGGGGTGATGGATGAGCTGGGTGATGTTTCACAAGGGCTGCCTGTGGAGCCAGAGGGCCAGACCCACCTCCACTTCTTCTGCTTTCCTATTTAAGCTAAACAAAGAATATCCTTCAAAGTCCATGGCCCAGGAAGGGGGATGAGGGAAATGAGGCAGCAGGGTCAGTGCCCACCTCACTGAGATCTCCATGTCGGGCTCTGGAAGGGTCTTTGGAGCCCCTGATGATGGGGATCCTCACGTTGGGGTGATGGATGAGCTGGGTGATGTTTCACAAGGGCTGCCTGTGGAGCCAGAGGGCCAGACCCACCTCCACTTCTTCTGCTTTCCTCCCAGGTAGTCAACCAGGTCCTGGAGAGGACCAGCAGCGGTGGCTTCTGTGGCAACGACACCCTGATGCACGTGACGTTGACCTCGTTGCCCTTCGGTGGCATGGGTAGGTCCAAAGCCCCCAATCTACTTGCCCCCCCTGGGCCAGTGTGATCCTCCCCACGGTGCCTGAGCCGTGCTGGCCATGGGGAGGAAGGGAGGGATGGAGCAACCGAACCTGAGCCCCAGGTCCTGAGGGCTCAGTGGTCCATGGGGAAATCCTTCTGCACCAGATGGAATCCCACCAGAAGCCCTTGGCTTCTCTAAACCGTGTCTGAGCTCTTGGGCTTTGCAGCCCTGTGTCTGCTGGACACTCATGGAGCTCTGGGAGGTTCCTTCTCCCCGTTGTTTGTTCCCCAAACACCTAAAAGTTAGAGAAGTTTGTCCCACTTGGGTGTTTCCTTGGTATTTCTGAACAGCTTGGGCACTGTGAGTGAATTTAGTGCCAGGGCTGGGTTCCTGCCCTGCTCAGGCAGCTGGGATCTCCTCGAGTGCTGCTCCCTTTGGTCTATCCTCATCGTTGTGCTCCTTGGGTAGGTGACCTTCCTCCTCTGACACTGTAGTGCTGGACAGGAGCACTAAATGCCACTCAGGAGCAGGCTCATACCTTCATTTTGCCTTTTAGGACTAAAAAGTAGGAGAAAAATGCTTACAAACATCTGGAGAACCTGCTTGTGGTAACTTGAAGATCCTCCTCAGCAAAGAGGAAGGGTTTTTGCTCTCCAGGGGCAACGATGCTTGTTTTCTCAGATGAAAAGTGAGGTCCTGGGACCTGGATGTAGCATTGGTGTAGTGTTGAAGGACATGGAGCTGTTGGAGCAGGGCCAGAGGAGGCCACGGAGATACTGGGAGGGCTGGAGCCCCTCTGCTGGGAGGACGGGCTGAGAGAGTTGGGGGGGTTCAGCCTGGAGAAGAGAAGGCTCCGGGGAGACCTTCCAGCCCCTTCCAGTCCCTCAAGGGGCTCCAGCAGAGATGGGGAGGGACTCTGGATGAGGGAGGGGAGCCCTAGGAGGAGGGGGAAGGGTTTGACCCTGAAAGAGGGGAGATGGAGCTGAGATGTGGGGAAAAACTTGTTTGGTGTGAGGGTGGTGAGAGCCTGGCCCAGGTTGCCCCGAGAAGCTGTGGCTGCCCCATCCCTGGAGGGGTTCAAGGGCAGGTTGGAGGGGGCTTGGAGCAACCTGGGCTGGTGGGAGGTGTCCCCCCATCATGGAACTGGATGATCTTTAAGGTCCCTTCCATCCCAAACCATTCTATGATTCTCTGATTGTCCAGGGAAGAGCAGAGCCCTCTGACCATGTTTCCCCAGAACATTTTCTCTGGTCTCTTCCCCAGAATATTCTTGGGGGGAAACCTCTCAGTTTTATGCTGCCCACGCTCAGCATCTTCATCAGGGCTGGCGACTGATTCAGCCATAATAGGCCACCCTGACAGCAAAGCCCAATTAATTCCTCACCTGACAGTGGCTCAGGGGACAATTTTTGGTGGTTCCCGATACCGTAACTTATCTTTGTGGAAGTGATTCAGCCAAACTGCCTCAAATTAGCAGGTGAAGCCATTTTATAACAGCCCGGTCGGGTCAAGGGTCTGAAGTCATCGGGGCGAGATGAGCTTGGCTGAAGCTTCCCCCAATAGCTGGGATGTGAAGTCATTGGGCTATTAATGGGCAACCTCAAGCTTAAACCAGCCACAGGAATCAGGAGAACCGGTGCTGCTGACGTGGCTCCAGTTTTGAAGAGCTCCAGGAGGAAGGTGACCTTTGTAGTGGCCGTGCTGGTGGCTCCTAACCATGGGTAGATACAGGAGAGCACCGTAGGGGTTCTAGAGGGACATCGAGCCTCGTAGACTCAGCAAAGCTTGTGTAGGTGTTGTGGATACACCAGAGGGATGGGATGTCATCCAAAAGGACCTGGACAGGCTGGAGAGGTGGGCCCAGGTGAACCTCATGAGGTTCAACAAGAGCAAATGCAAGGTTCTGCACCTGGGCCGGAACAATCCTCGCCACCAATACAAACTGGGGGGTGAGGTATTGGAAAGCAGCCCTGAGGAAAGGGACTTGGGGGTGCTGGTGGAGGAGAAGCTGGACATGAGCAGGCAGTGGGCAGTTGCAGCCCAGAAGGACAATCCCATCCTGGGCTGCATCAAAAGCTGCGTTGCCAGCAGGTCCACAGAGGGGATTCTGCCACTTTGCTCTGCTCTGGTGAGACCTCACCTGGAGTATTGTGTGCAGGGCTGGAGCCCTCAATAGAAGAAGGACATGGACCTGATGGAGAGGGTCCAGAGGAGGGCCACGAGGATGATCAGGGGGATGGAGCACCTCTGCTCCGAGGACAGGCTGAGGGAGCTGGGGTTGTTCAGCCTGGAGAAGAGGAGGCTCCGGGGAGACCTAATAGCAGCCTTCCAGTACCTGAAGGGAGCTACAGGAAGGCTGGGGAGAGCCTGTTTAGAAAGGCCTGCAGTGACAGGACGAGGGGCAATGGCTTCAAGCTGGAGGGGAACAGCTTTAGACTGGAGATGAGGAGAGGGTTCTTCACTGGGAGGGTGGTGGAGCACTGGGACAGGTTGCCCAGGGAGGTGGTTGAGGCCCCTTCCCTGGAGATATTCAAGGAGAGGCTCGATGGGGCAACCTGGTCTAGTTGGGGGTGTCCCTGCTGACTGTGGGGGGGTCGGACTAGATGGCCTTTGGAGGTCCCTTCCGGCCTGGGCAATTCTATGATTCTATTCTATGATTCTAGATAAATGTAGGCCAGGAAAAACGATGCTCTTGGACTTCCAAAGGGTGGTGGAAGAGGTAGAGGGAAGGGTGAGAGCTTCTCCACCACCTCTGGTTGCCCGGCAGCGGCAGCACTTGCAGGAGAAAAGGCTGTAAACTTCTCCTGGCGCGTTGTGGTTGCCGGGGCGTGGGCAGGAGCAAGCCTGGACCTGCTGTGCTTGGTGTGTTGGCAGGGAGCAGCGGTTTGGGGAAATACCACGGCAAGTTCACCTTCGACACCTTCAGCCACCACCGGGGCTGCCTGCACCGCAACATGGGCCTGGAGGCCCTCAACTCCTTGCGCTACCCACCCTACACCCAGCAGAAGCTGGGCCTCCTGACGGCCACCTTCGAGATCAAGCGCAAGGGCATGTGCACCCTGCTCTGAGGGGCTCCTGTCACCCTCATGGAATTGGGGGGGGGACATGCTGTGGGACAAAACCACCCTCTGCAGGAGGTCAGTGTCCTCCTCCCTCCTCTTGGAACCGGTCCCACGTTCTTCTTCCACTTCCTTTTCAAGATGGATGGACATCTCCTGCACCCTCGTTCCTCTCCAGCTGCCTCTGCTCAGGACTGTTTGCTGGGAAACCATCTGAAATGGCCAAAAAAAAGTGCTTTTTCTCACCCTGGACTTCTCTTCCCAGCGGAGAAAACGGTTCCTAGGAGGCTGAGGACCAGCAGATAAGCCCCATCTCCCCTTAGATGGACCTTTCCCTCTGGATCAACCTCATTCTCCCTCCTCTCAGCACCAGGCTCTTGTTTTCCCCTCCGTGTCACCCGCTCTGTAGTAAAGACTTCGCATTGACCTCTCCCTCCCGGCCTCTGTTGCCTGTTTTGGGGGGGCTGGTGGCCAAGAATCCATCCCCCAAGCCCTGGGTGGTGGGTTCCTGGACCCCCAGTGTCCCCCGTCCACCACAGCGACACCCTCAGCCATGCTGTGGGGGGTTGTGTCCCCCCTTCCATCACCCTGGAGGCTTGGACACCCCCAGCCACACCATTGAGGGTTGTGTCCCCCCTGTCACCCCGTGCCTGGTGGCTGTGACATCCTTAGACACACTCTTGGGGGTTGTGTCCCCCCTTCTGTCACCCTGTGCGTGTGACACCCCCAGCAACAGCCTTGAGGGTTGTGGCCCCCCTGTCACCCTGTGCCTGGTGGTTGTGACACCCTCAGACACTCCACTGGGGGTTGTGTCCCCCTTTCCATCACCCCCTGCCTGGGGGCTGTGTCACTGTGACACCCTCAGCCACACCGTGGGGGGGTTGTGTGTCCCCCCTTCTGTCACCCCGTGCCCATGACACCCTCAGCCACACCATGGTGGAAGTTGTGTGTCCCCCCTCCTGTCACCCTGTGCCTGTGACACCCTCAGCCACTCTGTGAAGGGTTGTGCCCCCCATCTGTCACCCCCTGCCTGGGGGCTGTGTCACTGTGACACCCTCAGCCACTCTGTGGGTGGGTTTTGTGTCCCCCCTTGTGTCACCCCGTGCCTGTAACACCCTCAGCCACACCGTGAAGGGTTGTGTCCCCCTTTTCATCACCCCCTGCCCGGTGGCTGTGTCACTGTGACACCCTCAGCCACTCTGTGGGTGGGTTTTGTGTCCCCCCTTGTGTCACCCCGTGCCTGTAACACCCTCAGCCACACCGTGAAGGGTTGTGTCCCCCTTTTCATCACCCCCTGCCCGGTGGCTGTGTCACTGTGACACCCTCAGCCACACCATGGTGGAAGTTGTGTGTCCCCCCTTCTGTCACCCCGTGCCTGTGACACCCTCAGCCACACTGTGAGGGGTTGTGCCCCCCATCTGTCCCCCCCTGCCCGGTGTCTGTGTCACTGTGACACCCTCAGCCACACCGTGGAGGGTTTTGTGTCCCCCCTCCTGTCGCCCCGTGCCTGTGACCCCCTCAGCCACACTGTGAGGGGGTGTGCCCCCCATCTGTCCCCCCCTGCCCGGTGGCTGTGTCACTGTGACACCCTCAGCCACACCGTGGAGGGTTTTGTGTCCCCCCTTCTGTCACCCCGTGCCTGTGACACCCTCAGCCCCACCGTGGGGGGGCCAGTTGTGTGTCCCCTTCCTTCACCCCATGCCTGGTGTCTGTGTCACTGTGACACCCTCAGCCACTCTGTGGGGGGGGTTTTGTCCCCCCTTCTGTCACCCCGTGCCTGTGACACCCTCAGCCATTCTGTGGGGGGGTTGTGTGTCCCCCTTTCTGTCACCCTGTGCCTGTGACACCCTCAGCCCCACGGTGAAAGGTTGTACCCCCCATCTGTCACCCCCTGCCCGGTGGCTGTGTCACTGTGAGACCCTCAGCCACACCGTGGGGGGTTGTGTGTCCCCCCTTGTGTTACCCTGTGCCCGTGACACCCTCAGCCCCACCGTGGGGGGGGGCAGTTGTGTGTCCCCTTCCTTCACCCCCTTCCTGGTGGGTGTGTCACTGTGACACCCCCAGCCACACCATGGGGGGGGGGGTTTGTCCCCTCTTCTGTCACCCCGTGCCCGTGACACCCTCAGCCCCACCGTGGGGGGGCCGGTTGTGTGTCCCCTTCCTTCCCCCCCCTTGCCTGGCTGCCTGACGCGGCGGCGGTGCCCCGGGGCTGGATTTGGGGTGCGTTTGGCATCCCAAGTGCTTTGGGCTGGAGCGGAGCCAGCCGTGACGTGTGTGTGACAGGGGCTGGGCAACCGAGGGCACCCAACAGGAAGCCGGCAGCCTTCCTCCTGCTCCTCCTCCTCCTCCTCCGCGGCAGCAGCAGCAGTGGGCTGTAGCTGGTGGTGGCTCCCTACCTGCACCCCTGCCAGCCCCACAGGCAGGGTCCCGGGTGCTCTCCTGGGGTGGTGGCCGGGTTCCCTGAGGCCACCTCCTCCCAGTAAAGCACCCTTTGGACCTTGGAGACTGGTGGCAGCTTCTTCCCAGAGCCCGGAATGCAGCAGCCCCACGGCAGTGGGGTCAGGAAAGCCCCCGAGGAGGAGGATGATGATGGTGGTGGTGAGAAGGGGAGCGTGGATGGTGATGCCACCAGGTGAGCATCCATGTGGCTGGGACAGGAGGGGTCTGGACGCCCCTGCCCTGTCCCCAGAGCTCTGGGGGTGATGTTGGGACCATGTGGGGCTCCTCAACCCAGGGGTTGGGATGGGGACAGGGTCTCTCTGATGGGGACAAGGTCCCTCTGATGTCCCCATCCCTGCAGCAGGAACCCCTACGCGGCGCTGGTGACCAGCCTGAGGGCAACCTGGCTCTCGGGGAAGACACGGCCCATGGAATTCCGGGTGGCCCAACTGGAAGCCCTGGGACACTTCTTGGATGAGAAGAAGCAGGAGATCCTGGAGGCCACCGCCTTGGACATGGGCAAGGTGAGGTGGGGTGGGAGAGGGGGGCTGGGACCAGGGGGGACACAGAGGCTGGAGGGGCCGAGGGGCTGCCCACGGCCCTGCCGGCTCCTGGTGTCACACAGAGGGTTGAGGTGGTGCCCCAATGGAGCTTCATCACCGTCCCCACGGTGAGCTCAGGGCCAGGGGACGTGGGTGGAAGCAGCGAAAATGAAACCCAGCTGGAGCTTTTCCTGTCCCACCTCCTCCAGAGCTGTCCTTAACCTCGGGGTGGGCAGAGGGGGGACTGTGAGGGGCGTCTGGGTGTAATTAGCCATTCTCCAACCCATCAGCCTCAGTTCTTCTCGCCAGGTCCATCCTTGGCTCCTGTCACCCCCCCTCCGTGTGCTCCCTGCCTTGGGCTTTCCACCAAATGTCCCCTCCTCTCTCTGGGTGCTCACCCAGGTCCAGCTTGGGGCCAGGACCCCCCGGCTTTGCATCGTCCCCTCCCTCTCTGCTCCTTCCCTCACGCCTACATCAGGGTCACCAAGAGCAGAGGCAGAGCAGACCCGTCCCCTGCATCTCCGTAAGTCCCCAAAGAGACTTCTCCCCAAGGAGATGTCCCCCTCCAGCCCCACCAGCCCCGCAGTTTCCCCTTGGTCCAGCTCATCTGCCCACAATCAGAGCCTCACGCAGGACTCATCATCTCTTCTTCTCCATCCTAGTTGAGAACTTCCCTTTGGGCACCTTCCCCATCCTTACCGCCCTCCAGATCGAGGGGATCCACATATTTTCCTTATTTTTAAGCAGCCAGATCCAGCGCCGAGAGGAGACCCTCGTCCCGTCAGGGAGAGGTGTCCTGGGTTTCACCCCGTTCCCCATCTGCTCCTCCACCCTTGGGTGCTCCTCCTCTCCTTGTGGTGGCCTGGGCTGTGGCTGGTGGCCGTTGCCATGAAGGTCTTGCCCATCCACCCTTCCACATGAGATAAGAAAACCATCGGAGGCTCCCGACTGCTCTCACCCAAGGGCCAAATCCAGGTGGAAGCCTCTGCTGATGAGCCCAAGACAACGCAGTGCAAAATCTGGGATTTCACATCTTGGTTAGCCCCAAAATTAACCATTTCACAGTAGCAAAGTCATAAATTTATCGTTTTTTCTTTAATTCCTTGGTTTCCTCTTCACCTGCCCACCCCAAGCCCAGGTTGGCAGCACCTCTCTGAGGCTTGTCCCCAAGCCCCCGGTGATAACTAGGGCTTAATGAACCCCCCCAGCTCCTTCGTGGACCCAGGGATGGAGCATTGGGTGACACCACGGGTGCGTCCAGCCCAGGCTCACTGGAGGACGCTCAGAAACAGGCCAAATACACACAATACTCCCAAATATTTGTTGGGAGCAAGGGGGCTGCCTCTCCATCCATGGTGAGAGCCCTGTGAGGGCTCCGTGCTCGCTGCCGTGACACTGGGGGTGGCCCCGGGCCACCCAGCAAGGTGAGCAGCCCCATCATGATGCTTCCATGACTCCTGGGAAAAGGAAAAATGAGATCCCTCAAACATCTACTGCAGCTCCCATCCCCAGAGAGCAATTTGTGCTCCCACACGAGGCCATCAGAGTGTCCTCCTGCCTGTGGTTCACCCAGTCTCTTCTTGGGGACACGCTGGACACCTCCTGCGACACGTTCCATGGGCGCTGGGTCTCTGCTTCTTCTTTTCTTCCACTCTGTGGTGAGGTACCAGGCTTGGTTTGTTCTGGTGTCACCTTGGAAAGCCCCCCCCATGGGGCTCAGCATCCCCTGCCACCAGCCCACCCAAAGCCACCCCATTGGCCCCAACGGCCACCGCAGCGGGCTGGTAGTTGGCCAGGGTTGGCCACACTTCCTCATCTGCCCAAGGTTCCCTTTTCCTTGGAAGAGTTATCCAACTGGTGCTATCCACTTTCTCTCTGCTTGGATGGGCAGCCCAGCTTCTCCCTTGACCCTGCTTCTCCTCCCAACATCGGGCTGAGCCACACACCTGCCCTGCTCCCAAATTCCTCCAATTTTTGGGTTCCCTCTCCCAGTGACCACCCAACCTCTGGAAACCTTTGCTTCCTGCTCTCCCCCTTGTCCTCGGCTTGGTGGTGGATCTCCTCCCCATTTTCCCAGCTCACCCCCCAAAAAAACCCTGCACCAACAGCCTCCAAAATGGGAATACTCCCTTTTATCCCATATTTCTTCCCAAATCTTGACACCTGGGTGGTGGAGATTCCCCAGGAATCGCTGGGTTTATCCTTCGAACCTGCCACTGCCCCACCAGGCCCCGTCCACCTCACCTTCCACCGTACTCCTGGGTGAGAAACCCAACTGTAAGGACAAACATTGAGGTGTCTCCCATGGATGGAAGGTGAGGAGATGCTGGTGGAGCTGGACCTCAGCACCAGGGTTGGTCCCCATGGCGGTGAGAAGTCCATGATGGGAAAATCAACGGGGGCTTGGTGGGGGGATTTGCAGATCCTGGGTAAAATAATACTCATGGGAGGGAGAAGAGCTGCAGGACAGGCCAAGGTGACACGCAGGGTCTTCTGTATCCCCAGCCCCGCTTTGAAGCCGAATTCTCCGAGATCCTTCTCTGCAAGAACGAGCTCCATGAGACGCTGAACAACCTGTCCCACTGGATGAAGGATGAGCACGTGGACAAGAACACGGTACGGGGGGAGATGGGAGAACCGTAGAATCATGGAATCATCCAGGTTGGAAGGGACCTTTCAGATCATCGAGTCCAACCATCAACGCAACACTGCCCAAACCACCACTAACCCATGTTCCTCAGCACCATGTCTGCCTGGCTTTTAGATACCTCCAGGGATGGGGACCCCACCACTTCCCTTTGGAGTTCCAATGTCTGAGAACCTGTTTAGTGCAGAATTTTTTCCCAATATCCATCCTAAACCTCCCCTGGTGCAACTTGAAGACATTTCCTCTTGTCCCATCACCTGTTCCTTGGGAGAAGAGACCGACCCCTCCCTGGCTACACCCTCCTTTCAGGGAGTTGGAGAGAGCAATAAGGTCTCCCCTCAGCCTCCT